GAAGTTCAAAAAGCGACTCAGGCCATGAACTTGTTCCTGCCCCGCCGCTCGAGTTCTTCGACGGGCCGTTCTCACGAGCCGCCTGCCAGAACCACACAGCAGCGCCCGCCTCAGCAAGCTCAGCAGCCCCAGCGTAGACAGGGCGGCCGCCCTCGCTCTCGCTCAGACAGCCGCCGCAGACAGCCTCCGCCCGGGGGCCTCGACCCAAGATCACGCTGAAGCCTGATCAACAGAAGTCTGCCTAGCACAGCTGAGAAAAAGACGGTTTTCTCCCGCTGCGGCCGGACCGCCGTCAAAGCTTCGCCCACTGTTAGTCCCCGTCTCACCGCTGACTACAGTAGTGTTTACCGCCACAAACAAGCCGGTTTCCCTGCCCGCTTGCGAGCGACTAAAAGCCGTTTTCACGGCTACCCAGAGAGTTCACAAAAAGAGCATAAAAGCCTCAAGTGTAAAAAATGTGCCCACAACCATGTGCTCACGTACACACACAAGCACTTTATGCCCAGGGTCTCTCGCAGAGCCCATTCTCACGGAGCGTGCACTTTCCGCTCCAGCAGCAGAGAACATAAGCACGCCCACGAGCCCGTGCGCGTGTCCCCCCTCTGCCCGCTCTGTCTCAAGGCCCTTAAACTCCTCTCTGAGTGTAAGTCCCGTTGCCTTCCACATTATAAGCGAGCCCACACCCAGTGTCCAGCCCGCAATGTGCAGCAATCAGGGCGAAATCGCCATTCAACCACTAGCCGTATGCTACAAAGCGTGGGAAGCCATCCCCGGCATCTCCCCGTGGGTTTTAAGCATAATAAAGAATGGTTATCGATTACAGTTTCGTCGCCGCCCGCCACGCTCGCGCGTGCGGCTCGAATCCACTGTCAGCCCGGCTGCTATGAACACGCTTCGCTTAGAAATAGCCAAGCTACTGCAGAAGGGCGCTATAGAGAGAGTCCCGCCATCTATGACCGAGTCGGGGTTTTACGGCCGTTATTTTCTGGTCCCCAAGAAAGACGGCGGCCTCAGGCCGATCTTAGATCTCAGGGCTTTGAACAAAGCGCTCATGAAGAGACCGTTCAAAATGCTCACAGTCAGGAAACTCCTCGCGCACGTCCGCCAGGGGGACTGGTTCATCTCTCTAGACCTGAAAGACGCCTATTTTCAGATCCAGATAAACCCTCATCACAGGCCATTCCTACGTTTCGCCTTCGAGGGCCAAGTTTACCAGTATGCCGTTCTCCCGTTCGGCCTATCCTTAGCACCCCGTACGTTCACGAAGTGCATGGATACAGCGCTCGCCCCCCTGCGAAGTCAGGGGCTGCGCATACTGAATTATCTGGACGACTGGCTGATTCTAGCAGATTCCCAGACGGAGCTGCTGTCGCACCGCACAGTTCTCCTCAACCATCTGGAAGCGCTGGGACTCTCTGTCAACTGGACAAAGAGCTCTCTCCAGCCCAGTCAAACTATTTCGTTCCTCGGAATAGATTTGAACTCTATCACGATGACGGCTCGCTTATCCACACAGCGCGCGCGCCGTGTTCAGCGCCTAGCCGCCTCGTTTCAGATGGGTACCCTTACATCCCTGAAATCGCTTCAGAGGATGCTGGGTCATATGGCTTCAGCCTCCGCTGCGCTACAGCTGGGTCTCCTGCACATGCGCCCCCTTCAATTCTGGTTAAAGAGCCGCGTATCCCACCACGAGTGGACGACGGGCCGCCAGATGATCAGGATTACTCAGACTTGTATCACTGCACTGCAGCCATGGGCAGCAAGCGAGTGGTTTCAGAGGGGCGTTACCATGGGAACATTCTCTCGCCGGAAAGTCATCTCGACAGACGCATCCAACTCGGGTTGGGGAGCGGTTTGCGAGGGCTCACCGGCCGCCGGCCAGTGGTCGAGCCACGAGAGTTCCTTACACATAAACTGTCTGGAAATGATCGCGGTCGAGAACGCGCTGCTGTGCTTCCTCCCGCGCATAAACGGTCACCACGTCCTGATTCGCTCCGACAATATGGCCGTGGTATCATACATCAACCGTCAGGGCGGCGTCAGATCCAAGAATCTCTTTCATCTGACACGCCGCATCCTATTGTGGTCCCAGAGTCACCTGCTTTCGCTCAGAGCGACGCACGTGCCGGGCCATCTGAACGACGGTCCAGACAGGCTGTCCAGGAACCTGGTCTCCCCCGGAGAATGGTCCCTGCACACTCAAACAGTCCAAACACTGTGGCGCCTATTCGGCAGAGCGGAGATAGATCTTTTCGCGTCAGAAGAGAACGCTCACTGCCCAATATTTTTTCAAAGAGCGAGGACGCGCTAGCCCAGGATTGGCCCCGCCGCCCGCTCTATGCTTTTCCCCCGATTTCTCTGCTACCGCAGGTCATTCAGAGAATCAGGGACTCACGCCACTCGGTGCTCCTCATAGCCCCGCGCTGGGAGAATCAGATTTGGTTCCCGGAGCTAACGCGGCTGTCACAGACAGCCCCGTGGCCCATTCCAATCAGAGCAGATCTCCTCACTCAAGCCCGCGGCTCGATCTGGCATCCCCATCCACAGCGCTGGGCGCTTCATGCATGGGTGACCAACGACTACGCGTCGAATTGCCAGAAGGGGTTTTGAACACGATCAAACACGCCAGAGCGGATTCTACCAGAAAGCTCTATGCTGCAAAATGGTCTGTGTTCTCCAAATGGTGCACCGACAAGAATTTGGACCCACGGACGTGCGAGGTTTCGTCTTTGCTAGTGTTCCTTCAGGAGATGCTGGATAAGGGCAGGTCCCATCCACTCTTAAGGTTTACGTGGCAGCCGTCGCGGCGTTCGCTGAACCCCGGCGCGCCCAGTCTCTGGGCAAAGACGAGCTTATCATCCGCTTCCTCAGGGGAGCCAGAAGGATGAACCCCCCTCGCCCCCTACGGTGCCGGTCTGGGATCTTTCTATAGTTCTAGAAGCTCTGAAAGCCCCACCGTTTGAACCACTTGAGTCCGTGGAGCTAAAATACCTCTCGTTAAAAACCGTTCTTCTGACGGCTCTCGCCTCAGTAAAACGTGTGGGGGACATTCACGCGCTGTCTTCGAGCGCCGCGTGCCTAGAGTTTGGACCGAGTGACTCCATAGTCATTCTAAAGCCTAGACACGGTTATGTTCCAAAAGCGATTGGTACCCCTTTCAGGGCGCAAGTGATCTCTCTATCGGCGCTGCCGGCATCCGATAGCGAACGTGACGCTCACCGCCTCTGCCCGGTTCGGGCTATCAGAGTGTACACTACACGCGTTGCCGCGTTCAGACGCTCGGAGCAGCTGTTTGTGTCGTTCGGTGGCCGCACCAAGGGACTAGCCGCCTCGAAACAGACCCTATCCAGGTGGATAGTAGACGCGATTGCCTCTGCTTATGCCGCTAAAGACCTGCCTTGCCCTCTGGGCATCAGGGCTCATTCCACCAGAGGCATGGCCTCATCGTGGGCATGGTCCTGCGGGATTTCCATCCACGACATTTGTGTGGCTGCGGGATGGGCTTCCCCTCCACCTTTGTCAGATTTTACAACTTGGAAGTTCCAGCCTTACAGGCTAAAATTCTGGCGGTCTAGTACTCACAGCCCTCCTATAGAAGCCGCACTATCGGGAGTTCCATCACAACCGTTTCACCCCTTGTGTTCCCCTATGTGCTTATGCATTAGCCTTCACATCACGGCCCGCCTTCGCCGGCCGCCTTGGGCGTTTTTGCACTAGATAGTAACGGCCGCTATCTGGCCGCCGTATTATCTTCATCCACTTATAGATTCCCCCGGTGTTCCCCTGGGATGCTTAGTGGTTACTTAGCGCGCACGGCGTTGACCAGGTGTTCCCGTAGCGTAAGCTAGCTTACGCAATACGAGAGAACCTCTCGTAAGAGAACGAATCGGTTACCTAACGTAACCTCGGTTCTCTCTAGATGAGGGAACGAGTATTGCGTTCCCGGCCGTGCTTGCGCCACCAGCGTTTCGCTTCATGCTACAGAATCAACGAACGAGCTGGGAGAGCGACCTTTATACACTGTAGCCACGCCCCTTTTGGCGGGCTGTGACGCAGTAAGCGAGCGCCGTCCGCTCATTGGCCGCGGACTCAGCGCCGCTCTCCCATAGGTTCGTGCATTCTCTCTGAGCGAACCAATGAGCCGCTAGCTAGCCCGCTCATGGTCTGCCTCAGAAGAGACTGCGTTGACAATGATTACAAAATTATGGAATAATTTTTTGGCTTCAACTTCTCAGCAAAGATGAATCTTTCCCGTAGCGTAAGCTAGCTTACGCAATACTCGTTCCCTCATCTAGAGAGAACCGAGGTTACGTTAGGTAACCGATTCGTTATACTAATCCAGTCTAACTAAAACAACCTGTAAAATATGTACGTAAATATTCCCTGATTAAAAGTAGTTTTTCACGGTTTTTACAGGTATGAAGGCGCTTGAAAAAGCATTCAGTTCTAGGTGTGACAAATCTGTGACAAATGTGTTTTCCACATACACCATTTAGGTCGAAAAGTTAGAAAGCACTTAGTTCACAAAAAAAAAAAAAAAAAAAAAAAAAAAAAAAAAACTTTTGCCAACCATACGGTTCAAGGTCCAAATTATCGTTTCAGTGCAGCTTCAAAGGACTTTAAACGACACCAGACGATTAATAAGGCATTAGAGTCTTATCTAGAACCCTTCGAGTCATGACTCGAAAAAAAGATTTGTTCGTTTTGATGAATGAATTTGAACAGGAGAGTCACGAACGCTCATTACAGAACAGAGCAAGGCAACCATTTGTGCTTATAAAACTTAAACTTTTTGATTTATTTTTTAAATGACCACTCGTTTCGCTAGATAGAACCCTTATTCATCGTCTGGTGTCATTTAAAGCCCTTTGAACAGTTTGTACTGAAAGTGTCTTTTGGACTTTGAACCGTTTGGTTACCATTGAAGTCCATTATATGGAGAAAATCCTGGAATGTTTTCATCAAAAAAACCTAATTTCTTTTCGACTGAAGAAAGACATGGATATCTTGGATGACATGGGGGTGAGTAAATTATCAGCAAAAGTTTTTTTTAAAAGTGAACTACTCCTTTAATCTTATTTTAGCTTTAGGTAAGTGCCTATTATATATGTATATATATTTATCATATGTGTGTGTGTTTGCGCACGTGATATTAGGAAGCAAATGATGACAGCAGGTGTAAATCGAGTTACCCCTCCCACTTCTTCTGGTTTTACTGACATTTCTAATACCATTTAGAAATTTAATACTAATTTCTAATTAATACTAATACTAATTTCCGTGGCCATTAATACTACAGAAACGTTAGTCCTGTGGTAAAATTACAGTATTACACCATCTACCCTTGTTAAACTAATCACATCCGGATAGGGCATGACATCTTCAGCAAAAATAAAAACACTTAAATATAGATTTACTCTTCAAATCTCTTCATGACTGACCCGGCCATGAAGTCGGTCAGTCACGGAGAAGACGTCCCACACATTAAAGATCAAGCGTTTAGCCCGAGACCGCACTGCTGTTCGTGTTCGCCAAACATCTGGCAGACATGCAACTGATTTAGCATCAAAATAGTAAAACCAAGACATGCGCCGTGTTGTGTGGCTGTTGTGGAAGTTTAATCCTCCTTGTTAAATTCCAGTGTCATGTGATGAGTGTGTCACAGTTCTGTCTTCACTTTGTGCATGAGGTCTTTCTGGTCAATCATCTCCACTTGTCTGTTCCAGCGGTGGTATGCTAACAGCGCTATATTCTTAGCCGCCACCGAGCTCATTTCCATCGCGCTTCCAGCCCATTCGATTCCATTGAGGAAGTACAAGTTTTCGTGCAGCTCCACCGGTGGCAAACCGTGCGTGCTTCCATAACTAGGGTACGCCAACCAATCCGTGACCTGCACGGAGTAATAGGACTTAAAAAGAGTCTTCAGCTCATTCTTGCCCAGAGGCACTGGGGAAAACACCTTGTAAACGCCGGCCTCCTGAGGCTGTTTCCTGCGGAAGCCGGAGGTTATGTTGACGGGACACACGCTGGCAGCGCTGTTGAAGACCAGTCCGGGAGTGTCTGTGGTAAGGATGCTTGAAAACGGGAAAAGCTTTGGGTCGGGGAAGCCGAAGTAGGTGCAGTTTAGGTAGCCGTGGATGATGGAGGCCACGGTTTGGTGGTAGGAGCCCGTCATTTCCGGGAGTTGTGGCTCAAAGCCCTGGAATGAGATGCCGGAGTTGACGTTTTGTTGGAGAGGCGTGGCTACCACTACTATATCATAGAGCTCCGATGTCTTTTCATTTTGAGAGTCGTAGGTGAGCTCATACTGGTGGTAATCTCCTGAGGAAACAAACTGCAGTTTTAGTTATTATTCAGTAGGGTTGTCACTTTTGTGAAAATTGTCGATTTGAGACATAAGTGTTGATTGAATCGATTGTAAAATCGATTTTTCCATGCTGCAGGCGTATCGTGACGTTAAAAGGCCGTTAAAATCGATTCCCTGTTTAAGTGTTGGTTGGTCCGATCGATTGTGTTAAATTGTGGAAATTCGTATTTCCATTTTTGGCGTGCCATCAACACGCATAATCGCTTTTCAGCGTGTTTATAAACGCCATTGACTTAACGTTACATTACTGTATATGTAAATATATGACCTACCCCAACCCCGTCCCTAAACCTAACCGTCACTGGGGTTAATCCCATTTATGAGTCTTCTCCTACAATCCTAGGAAATAAATATCGCTTCCCAGATGTAGATCTACATTTTGCTTCGTTTCGCTCTGACATTTAACAGCGTGTACATACGCGCGGAATCACTCGGACATTTAATGGCGTAGACATACATGCATACATGCGGATAGCTCAAAAATGCGTATAGATAACACGCCACTTGACTTGAATGTGGTGTGTATGTTTACGCGAAAGTCATGATGCCATGTTGCGTATCGGGACGTTAAAAGGCTGTTAAAAAATCGATCCCATGTTTCCGTTTTCGAAACTTGTGTTGGTTGGTCCAATCGATTGTGCTATCTATTTTTGAACGTAAACTGACAGCCCTATTATTCAATAAGAATAAGGCGTTCACACTGGCATTATACCATCTGGATGCTCAAAATTGACCGGTGAATGTTTTAAACAGCTGATTGCACAGGTAAGTTAATCGCCGTTCTAAACAAATGTGCTCCTGCATTGTAACTGTATTGACACCACTTTCCCGCCATTGACAGAGATTGGGAATTCATGTTTTCACTGTTGTTACTGACCTTCTGAAATAGTGAATACTTCTGATCCAAAAACAATGGAAGAAGATCTGCGTAACCCAGAAAAAGCGACTTTTTGAGCGAATCCAGACAGCCGTTGAGCGTACATCGGCTGTACACTCGTTATTGCAGTGCAATGTGGGATTGAATAAGTGCACTCAATAATGTCCACTATGGTTTCTGACACCACTACAAATGGCTGTCCCCTCAAATAACACCCTATTTCAGTCCCTCCAGAAAAACGCGATTATGCGATCGCTGAATTCAATGCATAATCAGCCAAAGTCCGCATATTCATGCAGGGGCTGCATTTTTCAAATACGCCGCACTTTTGCCGTATAAATTGCAGATTTTCGTGCAAAATATGCGGGGTTTGCATGATTTCATAATCCTCGCATTTTCGTTGTAAAAAAAGTCACATATATCTTAGCAGAAAGTTGAAAAATGTTGCGTTTGCTTCACACAAGAGCAGCCATTTCCCCGTTTCCATGGGAACGTTATGAAGCGACACAATTTAGCGACGGGATAGATCACAGCTGAAGTTATTGCAGAGGCCAGACAGACTCATGGAGGCTATCGACATCTCACAAATCGAACTCGTATAACTGTCTGTCACACGTTCTACCGTCACATCGTTACTTAATAAACAACATAAGATAACAGAAGAAGCATCAAACAGAAATTAGCCGCACACATGGGGTGTTCGAGGCGCACATATAATATAACACTGCAGACAGTTCAACAGGGAGAGCAGCTCTTAAAGGGGCCACACAGTCTGAAATAAAACAAGATCAGAAATTAAATATTCCCAGCACTTTCTATGATGTAGTATGCTTGCTTATCAAAGGAAGTAATAAGAAATGACTCTTTACATTAAGGTAGTAGCCTAGTGAGAACAGGGTTGGGGGAATCACTTTTTTTCCTCTTTTTCATCAAACCGCAGTTTTTGCAAGTTCCCACAATTTCATTGCATAAAATTGCATAAATATCCCGCATATTCCAACGCATTTTTAACGAAAACGGGCCGCATAATCAAGGATTTTTGCCCGCAAGAATCACAAAAAAACTCCACGTTTTTCTGGAAGGACTGCTTTTTAAGGGTATAGGTGGCGATTTCAGATTCAGCCAATGTATTTTTCAGTGAATCATTCATTCAAGAGATTTGTTCAAAAATGCTGATTCATCCAGTACTGAAACAAGCGACTCATTGAATCATTCATTCAAACTGCTTATTTTTTGTTCTGTATCCGATCCACGACAAAAACGTGATTTTCTAAGCCTTTTTCATAAATTCAAGTTTAGATCCACGAACAGTATGTTCGCCTGTCAGTATGAACACACCTTTAGAGGTCTTCAGAGATTGTCATGTGGAATACCTGCTGATCGTAGGCTAATGGTTGTAACTGGACTCTGGATGAGATTAGCTTTTGCTAGTTTAAGCAGTCCTGAGCAAACCAGCTTGTTTCCTCCCTCCACGGCCCAGAGGTTGGCCTGTGCACCAGCGAGAGACACGGCACCTGTCACAGAGAAACCCACACATGGAGAGAACACCACTAACATGGACAGGTCATCTTACGACCAACATTTTGTTCCAAGATCGTTCAGAACATTCTCTTCTACTGTTGATAAGACATGAAGGTTACATTTTATTTTAAGGTGATGTAGTTACGTTGTACTTACTCAAATAAGTACTGAGTTAGGGTTTGGTTTAGGGTTAGTTATTTGTAACTATGCATCATTTACTGTTATGACTATAGTAAGTACATGTAGTATTGGAACCATGTCACCTTAAAATAAAGTGTTACCGGTATTAAAAGTGCCAAATCATCATAAAACAGTTTGATGCCATATAAACTTTTTGAACTCGGTCCAAAAGCCATTCATTTTAACTAAGCAACAAAAAATCAGCTTGTTTAATTATGTAACATTTAAAAATGCATGTACAATGTCACAAAATTAATTAAACTAATATACCAAAATTTACAATGTTTCAAAATTTTTTTTTTTCTTTATTGAATTATTTTCAAAGACATCTTTTTTATTTTTAATTAAAAAAAAGAATGTTTTTAAGTTAAAGGGCTAAAAATGGCTGTTTTGTGTTTGAGTACATTTTAAAATGTAATTTATTCCCGTGATAACAAAGATGAACATGTTAACGTTAAAACAGTTGCTTTATAGCTGCTTAATATATTAATAAAAAGTTAGTTTGAAATGTAACAATGTCTTCACTAGGGATTGGCAACGATTAATCGCGATTAATCGGATCCAAAATAAAAGTTTGTGTTTACTTAATATATTTGTGTGTAGTGTGCATAATTAATTTGTATATATATAAATACCCACACATGCATGTATATATATTTAAGAAAAATGTGTTATTAATATATCAAATATTTATATATAATATTAATTGTGAATAAATATATATATGCACATATTTCTTAAATATATACATGCATGTGTGGGTATTTATTAGTGATGCACCGATGTGAAAATTTGTGGCCGATACCGATAACCGATATTAACATTGCTGTTATGGCCGATACCGATATTTACCGATGTCGATATCCCTGTATAGAAAACACATAGCGAGGATTAGGGCTGCACGATATTGGTAAAAAATGACATTGTGATATTTTATTTTTCTGCGATATATATTGTGATATAAAAACAATTTCACCAGATTACTTAAATTGCTCTATTTGGAAAGAATGAATCATTCTAGAATGACTGGGGTAGTTTTGTCATGGAGTATATCCACAGAAACTAATATTAATAGAATGTTAACAAAATTTGTTAACATTCTATTAATCTATTAACCTTACACTTTACAAGAAGGTTCCATTTATTAAAGTGTTCATTTAATGTACACTTTAATAAATGGAACCTTATTGTAAAGTGTTTCCGATTTATGTATCTTGAGCTCAGTGTTGGACAGATCAGTTGTTTTAACCATTCATTAAAGTGAATCGGTTCAAAGGAGTCATTAGTTCGCGAATCGGACGTGTCATTAACGGAACCACGGCACACGTTGTGTGATTATCCAGGCAGTTTAGAACATCGCACGAGATTTGTCTCGACTTATTTTTACAGTCTATGGTCTCGACAGTCGACACAGAAAACATTTCATCAACACGATAGATTTTTTTTTTTTTGGTTTATTGAAAGTGTGGTTTCACAATTCACAACCAGTAGTTCAGAAGAAAAAAACTTCGGTCTTCCGACCTTTTACCATCGTGTATTCTCAAAGATATTCAGTCAACTCAATTCATAAACATGCGTGAGGGGGAGAGAGAGCAAGACATTTTGAAGACGGCGCGCGTGACCGGTGCTTTCACTCTTGTTCCCTCCGTTAAACAAGAAAGACATTTTGAAGACGGCGCGCGTGACCGGTGCTTTCACTCTCTCTTGTTCCCTCCGTTAAACAAGCGAAAGACATTTTGAAGACGGCGCGCGTGACCGGTGCTTTCACTCTCTCTTGTTCCCGGAGTTAAACAAGCGAAAGACATTTTGAAGGCGGCGCGCGTGACCGGTGCTTTAATTGACTCTCGTTCCCTCAGTTAAACAAGCGCACCAGTCACTCATCTACATCACTTACCGGTCAAATATGGCTTTGGCGGGACAAAAATACGCATTAGGAAGGCTGGCAGAAAACAGCTCACCAGTTCCAGTCTTCGTGCGCTTGATGTTTAAACGCACTTGCGCTTTTAATACGCGTGCAAAAACAAACATCCCCGCCCCCACGCAAGTCAAATACACAGGGAATGATCATCGGCCTGTTCATATCGGCCCTATTTTGACATCGGAACGATACCGATGTGTAAAAAATTGACCAAATCGGCCGATATTATATCGGCGGCCGATATATCGTGCATCACTAGTATTTATATATACAAATTAATTATACACACTCCACAAACATGTATTATGTAAACACAAACTTTTATTTTGGATGCGATTAATCACGATTAATCGTTGCCCATCCCTAGTCTGCCATATTTAATGCATTAAAAATGCTACATTTTCAAATAATAATAATAATAATAATGTTCCCAAACCTTTGAATAGTAGTGTATATTTAATAGATTTTTAAGTATGCTTATGTTTTTGGTGCAAAAACTTTACAATATTTACATAAGACACTTTAGATTTTTAATAAGACGATCTTGTAGCCATTTAATGTTTGAGGTTTATTAGCTATATATACTTTGTGCTTCAAATATGTATTATGTGATTATTATTCATCACTTTTAGAATGAAAAGAAAGTGAAAAGTGAGAGTATAATATCAAAGAGTGTAAAAATAAGAGAAGCTAGAACCCCTATGAAGACAGTGCAGTGCGTACCGACAAACGCAGGGATGCTGACGTTCTGGCCGTAGTTGACCCTCATGATGGGGGCTATGACCTCATCAATGAAGCGCTGGGAGACGCCCAGTTCGAGCAGAGATTCGGAGAGAGAGCTGCGGGTCATGTTGATGAAGCCTGAACCGCCCAGAGAGTGCAGCAGCTCCTCCACTGAGCTGAAGGCGTAGCCATGGGCCTGGTATTTATAGATCCTGACAGGAAAAGAGAGGATGATGGTTCATTTGGTAAATGAAAATCAAATACAAAAACCTGTTACTCAGCAGAACAGAACTGCAGATTTTAAGGTTCCCCAACACTACAGTTAAATCATCGAATGTAATGTCTTTTTTAAATAACAGAGAACGCATCAACTGGATCATTTCCCAAGAAGAGTTTTGACAAGAAGTGCCGCTTTCCTCCGAGGTTTTTTTAGTATTACCTATTGAGGACTTGACCAAAATATTTTTTTTTAAGTGCCCCTTTTGTGCTTTTTTGAATATTATCTTTTAATAAAGCTGTTCGTGACTGTATAAAGTCCGCAAAGGTTAAAAGATTGCACAGTAAATGGAGTTATTGTGCCCCAAAAGAAAGAAGCGATCCTGAACTTCCTGAAATGAGTCGTTAGTCTTACTTCCTGCTTGAATGTTTGTAACAAATTTGCATAATTATATATTTGCACAATTTTTAAACAGATATTCAATAGTGTTGGGAAATGTGTCCAATCGATTGTAAACAAACGCTTTCTCTCTGGTTCTGTTCCAGATCATTGTGAGACCGATGTTGAAAAGATTCATTTTAGACCAATTTCAAATCTATTTTTAATTTGATCGTCGATAAAGATCTTAGAGAAAGCTGTTGCCAGAAAAATTTAAATACACAACACAGGATTTCTGGAGAAAAACAAACAAAAAAAAAACATTATATAGAAATATATTTTTTAAACATTATAAATTATGAGTTCACATGTTTAATTAATTAGACATCCACTTTGATTATTAAAATTAAATTAAAACAATTCAAATGGAATCTAGAAAACAGAATTTAGTCAAAATAAAACTGAATTTGAGAAAAGCAAACTTTTAATAAATTGAAAGTAAATTGTATAAGTTTCATGATTTCATGTAAATATATTTAATTAATTATGTTTTTTGATTACTAAAATGTAATTTAACTATTAATAGTAAATAAAAATAAATAAATAAATAAAACGTAAAAATAAAACAGAATTTGAAAAAAAAAATGTAAATGGATTTCATAGGGCCCTACAAATAGTGGGTTTTATTCACTAATAATTGCGTGGATTATTAGTATTTTGTACACACAGGAGAACTTCTCAAAAAAATTTAGAGTTAAAACCTTTAGAGTTAAAAGTTTAAAGTTAAAAACTTCATGTGTCTACTCAAATTAGTTTTTTTATTTTTAAATATAAACATTTAAATGGTTGGTGTCATAAAAGCTGTCATAACCATAATCGAATGGTGTCATAATCAATTATTAAATATTGAAGAACATTAAAAATTATAATGAATATGTAATGTAGTGGTTATATTAATCAAAATGCACCTCTCTAGGGTTCATTTTTCTAGCTGACTAACGAGTTATGGTCACTAAGTATGGTTTTTCTGAGGTAAATGTGACTGTGTTTACAAGCTGACACCTTTCTGCAGTTGAAACACTCCTTGAGCGATTACATGAGACATGATACGGATTTCTTAAACATAACTTCGGTTATGTTGCTGCAATGTGTATTGTGAGAAAATAAAGTATTCTTTGACCTTGGATGCATGTAAAAGTATTATAAGAGACAACCAAAACACAAAACATAATTAGGAACATTTAAAATAACATAATAGGGGCACTTTAAAATGCAACAGCCCAACAAAACCTATTCGTTATTGCGATTCAGTTTCAGGTGGTACATTCTTCAAAATATCTTCTTGTGTGTTCAGCAGAAGAAAGAAATTCATGCAGGTTTGGAACAACTTGTGTCCTTAATTGTAAACGCAAGCAAATCTAAAAGATTATATGCTGTCAGAAAAAGGATTTTTATGTCCTCAACCCTTTTGCTCACCTCATGAACTTCTCCATGATCTCCTCCACCCACATCTGCAGGCGGATGAAGCTGATCCCGTAGCGCCACCACAGGCGAAACAGATCCAGCAGGTACCAGTCAGTCTCCTCCAGGATAAACTCCTCTCCATTAAACACGGCTGTTTTCCCAGCCACGCTCTTACGGTACTTCAGCCCTGTGGACGGGTCACATGAGATGAGCATTGAAGAGAACAGGCTTTAGTAGTACTAGCGTTAAAAAATGTTATGTTAGTTCATCCAAAAATGAAAATGGCGTCATTAATGACTCTCCCTCATGTCGTCCCAAACCCGGAAGACCTCCGTTCATCTTCAGAACACAGTTTAAGATCTTTTAGATGTAGTCCGAGAGTTTTCTGTCCCTCCATTGGAAATGTATGTACGGTATACTGTCCTTGTCCAGAAAGGAAATAAAGACATCATCAAAGTAGTCCATGTGACATCAGTGGGTTAGGTACAATGTTTTGAAGAATCGAAAATACATTTTGGTCCAAAAATAACACAACTACGACTTTATTCAGCATTGTATTGTCTTCCGGTTCTGCTGTGGATCCGCGTTCAGTGCCGCTGCTGACGTGTGTCTGGTTCGTCCGTGTATTCGGGTTCAAAGAAATATGGTTGGGCAAAAAAATGCAAGTCTTCCTCTGTGTGGAAATCCTTAGACATGTTTGTGAAGATTGTTTTGTACAGCATGCATCTCCCTCAGACTGTAACCGAAGCTCAGCCGCACCAGACACACGTCAGCCGCGTCTTACGTCAGTGGATCCACAACAGAACCGGAAGACAATACAATGCTGAATAAAGTCGTAGTTTTTGTTATTTTTGGACCAAAATGTGTTTTCAATGCTTCAAAACATTGTAACCAACCCACTGATGTCACATGGACTACTTTGATGATGATCGATGTTTATATGTGAATAAAAGCCTAAATTCAGTCTGTTCCTCTTATGAAGCGGCCGAGTCTCTTCAGAAAATGTGGACTAAACCACTCAATTCAAATGTATTCGTTTTACGATCTCTTTAAAGCATCAAAGTGGTAGTTGCGTAGCGGTCAATGGAGGGACAGAAATCTCTCAGATTTTATTAAAAATATCTTTAATTGTGTTCTGAAGATGAAAAAAAGTCTTACAGGCTTGGAACGACATGAGGGGGGAGTCATTAATGACATAATTTTCACTATCCCTTTAAGTCCAGCGTGCTTATTGTGTGTTCATATTGTATTGCAAAACACTTGTGCTGCTATTGAGATGTGACACGTTTAAGGGTGGGTTAAAGGAGAAGTTCACTTTAAAAAAAAACAAAAAACTTTTGCTGATAATTTACCCACCCCCATGTCATCCAAGATGTCCATGTCTTTCTTTCTTCAGTCGAAAAGAAATTAAGGTTTTTGATGAAAACGTTCCAGGATTTTTCTCCATATAATGGACTTCAATGGGAACCAAGCGGTTCAAGGTACAAATGAGAGTTTCAGTGGAGCTTCAAAGGCCTTTAAATGACACCAGACGATGAATAAGGATCTTATTTAGCGAAATGATTGTCAATTAAAAAATAAATAAAAAAAGTTTTATAACGCACAAATGTTCGCCTTGCTCTGTTCTGTGATGCGCGTTCATGACGCTACTGTTCGCAAATCTTTTTTCGAGACATTTCGTTCGTTGAATGAACCAAATGACTTGAAAAAAGATTAGTTCATTTTCGCGAGATAAGACCGTTATTCATCATCTGGTATCGTTTGAAGCTGGACTGAAACTCTCATTTGGACCTTGAACCGTTTGGTTCCCACTGAAGTCCATAATATGGAGAAAATTCCTGGAATGTTTTCACCAAAAACCTTAATTTCTTTTCACCTGAAGAAAGAAAGACATGGACATCTTGGGTGACACGGGGGTGAGTAAATTATCAGCATACGTTTTTTTTTTTAAAAAAGTGAACTACTCCTTTAAGGTGCAAGGAAAGGGTCAACAGTGAAATTACAGCTGTAAATATAAGCAGGTATTATAATTTTTTTTATTTTTTACGTATAAGTCACGTACAATGTAAAAACACGTATGAACAAAATAATCGCATTGCTACAAATGATTCATGATAGTGCATGGGCTGAGAACTTCAACATTTTAGCAATATGAATAACGTTACAACAAACCCAGTTGCTGGACAAAGTCTTGCATGTGCAGGTTGAGGGAATGGATGATGGATCCCCCGGACTCGTAGTCTTGCTGGTTGACGGTAACTGTAGCCAGTCGACCACCGACTGAGCCTTTCTCAAATACATCAATTCTCACTTCTGGCCCGAAGTGTTGCCTCAGGAAATGAGCTGTAGCGGTTCCTCCGATTCCGGCTCCAACAACAGCTGCAAACACACCAGCACGAGTGTTCATACTGCAGCATAAACACCTTTATTATTGATATCAGTCACTTTTTGGCCTACCTATTTTAGAAGGCGGGGCACCATCTTGTTTTGCAAAATCCGAATCCGACAATACATACACAAAAGAAAGAAGAACAAGCAGATACTGATTCATAATTGTTTATAACAACCGAGACTAGCTTTACTTCCAATGGACAGAGGATACACGTGCGTTCAAGCTAACAGTTAAATGAATGCACGAGCCTTTATGCATTTCTTCTCAGCTTTGTAATAGGAAGGAAAAATGAATTAACACGTAAAATATCGGATGATTTGGATAAATGTCGCTTAAAAACTATACGCATTTAAATGTCTGCTACTGTCCACCGGCAACAACAAGAGCGCGTGATCTTTCATGCGCACGCATCTGACCAATCAGAGCAAGAGAGATGCTCTTCTGACCAATCAGAGCAAAGAAAGCCTCTCTGAGAGACTCTCTTTTGACCAATCAGAGCAAGAGAGGCTCTCTTCTGACCAATCAGAGCAAGAGAGGCTCTCTTCTGACAAATCGGAGCGATATAAATGCCTGACCAATCGGAAAAGGAGAAACCTTTCAACAGGGATGCTAAGAAGCATAAAGATGGAACGGGCTTCTTAAAAACAACTTATTCGATTTAAGTTTTCATTTAAAAACAACTTATTAGATTTAAGTTTTCATTGGAAGTTAAAGGTGCCATAAGCGATTTCAGCGACTGATTTAGTCCCTTCAATCATACGGCATATTTAAAACACCGCCTTTCAAAGAAATGTTAAGGTATTGTCACCCAGAAAGATACCTAAAAGATGGCCTAACTACTTTTAATTTCCATTTACAGTAAAGAGGGCTCTCTCAGGTGGGATTTCTCAGTCAGGAGTCACGTGATATCTGGCAGGTAAATTTACATTCACAGGTGTCTCAGAAGCGGAAGTTGTCATAGTTGGTAAAATTGAATGGTAAGGTAAATGGACTGCATTTATATAGCGCTTTCATAGACCTAATGGCCACCAGAGCGCTTTACATTTTACATTTTGCACATTTACCCACTCATACACTCATTCATACACCGACGGCGGTGGCGATGATGAATGAGAGATTATTTAAACATAGTTTTTGTGTTCGTATTTTCTCAAATAGCAAAAGAAAAACTTGACAATAGTGTTTTCACAACTTTCAAAAAGAGGAAAAATATAAAGATAGATATCGTCGATAACGATAACGGCAATCAGAAGAGAGAAGGATGTCATTTTGACCTTATTGTATTCGAAACAGCAGCATTAATTAGTTTTTGTACTTTAAAGTAAATGTTATATAATACAAAATATAGTGTTACTTATAGTAAAAAATGAAAAAATCCTATTTAAACAATTTAATAACCAATAAAAAAGGAATTTATACCTGTATGATGTTACGTATTGGAAAATGAATAGATGAATTCATTTCCACGACTCTCAAAGTTCAAAGTTGTTGCACACTGGTTATTGCAGTGCATTATGGGATTGAATGAGTGCAATCATTAACATCCACTATGGTTTCGGACACATACAAATGGTTGTTAGTGTCCTATTTAAAGGAGTATTTCAACACAGCTCCGTTCACGCCATGTTGTAATTATCGTAAGGATTGCAACTTGTAAAAAGTGTTCAAGTTCTCGTAGAGCTCATAATTACAACTTGTGTGCTGGGAATTTTCGGAGAGCTCTTACTTGTACCACATGATCAAATAAAATAAAATAAAAAGATATAAATTATGCACATAATTAATATTTTCCCTGTGTAATGTATATGGAAAGCACATGAGAATTGTGTTAAATAAAAACAATGAGTTGTATTAAATAATTAAATGAAATTTGATTTCATATAAATAAAATTACAAATTTTTTTAATTAAACACAATTAAATCTGGTAGAGAAATTAGAGTTGTAATTTACTTTACTTCACTTGAGTTCAATAGAGTGTTCCAGTCAGATCGTATGTTGGTTATTAGTTAGTTCTGGGTCAGGGAGAAATTCCCCTTTAGCCACTGATTTCCCAAACAATAACATGCTCACGATTAAGAGGGATTTTCTTATAAGATCACAATGACCAGTGCCAGGAACACGATGATTGGACTTGATGCATGTCCAGGAAATGTCAGATTCAAATACATTTAATATTATGTTTAAAATTGAAACCATTATTTATTGATTTGCACCATTTGTGACATTTTTCAAAGATTTCAATGATACAATACACAGATATATTTTCGAAATATACAGGCCACTTATTCTAGTCAAAGATATTTTCACCCAAAATACGTAAAAAAAACTCTGCTTATTTGGTTATAGTTAACATTTGTGCCATGAGTCTAAACTGCATGTTTGAGCTGTTTTAACTGAAAGCAACTTGCACTGATATATCTTTAATGTTGTTGTTTTTTCTAAGGCACAGTTATAAAAGCTATTTAAATGTCCTAAATGAATTGAACTGAAGCCTAATCATGGCTTAATCTAAACCCTGTCTGAGAAACCAGGCCATGGTGTCTCGAAATGTTCATATATAGTATTTATCTTTGCTTTCACACGTTCGCACTCTTAAAGGTCAGCGTTTATTTATACGCTGTTTTCTCGTCATGAGTGGCCTGTGACTTCAGGTCATCTGTAGCCTGTGATATCCTGACTCACTTCCTCTGTCATGTGACAAATACAAAACTCAGTGGCGCAATTTGGCCAAAAGTCATGATGACCGATATCATAAAAACAACTCATGAAAAGTCATGTCAGGACATTCCCAGATTGTTTACGACCTTTACAGACATATTTTGCATATTTTATTAAGAAACGCATGAAATGGTCAGTGGAAATGGTTAATTCATTGAAAAGTGGAAACCTAAAAAATGGCAACATCTAAATGAACTAGTCAGCAATATTGTTTAACACATCTGAACCAAACATTACTTTAAATGGCCAACCAACAAATCAAATTTTTGGGTTGAATCAGACAGAAATTGCATTTTAAAGTAGGCTGAACAATTGTATGGGTTACTACTTTTTACAGCTGAATGCAGGGCATTTTCTTAAGGAAATGCATGAAAACTAGAGTGATATTCAAAACAGGAGGTCTGATATTTTGCATTGTTTTGGTACTTGGAAACTAGGACAGAAAAAAAAAACACCACCAACAACTCTTGTATGAATCAGGAACGTAAAAAGTAAGCAATAAGAGGCTGTGCTGTATCGTGAATAAGTAACGGCTGAAGGGCGTTGTTAGGCTCGATGCGGAGCAACCCCTTCAACCGTTACTTATTCACGATACAGCACTTGCCTCGAGTACCTTATTGCTTTTATAAAACGGTTACCACACATTATATATATTAAAGTAAAAAAAAAAAAATGGATTAGTGCAACTTTCATGAAGTAAAATCATTAAAAGCCTATTTAGTCAGAATTGTCAGAATTGCAAGATGTAAAGTCAGAATTGCGAGATATAAAGTCTGAATTGCCTGATATAAAGTCGCAATTGCGAGATATAAAGTCAGAATTGCGTGATATAAAGTCGCAATTGTGTGTTATAAATTCAGAACGGCGAGATATAAAGTCAGAGTTGCGTGATACAAAGTTGCAATTGCGAGACAAAGTCAGAATTGCGAGATATAAAGTCACAATTGTGTGTTATAAATTCAGAATTGCGAGATATAAAGTCAGAATTGCACGATATAAAGTCGCAATTGCATATTATAAAGTAAGAAATTTGATAGCCTATAAAGTCCAAATTGCGTGTTGTAAAGTCAGAATTGTTAGATATAAACTATCCTGAGGGGTTATAGTCTTTTTTATAGTCTGATGACTCGCAATTGCGAGTTTATATCTCACAATTGAAAAGATGTCAGAATTTCGACATACAAACTCGCAATTATGTGTTATAAAGTCAGAATTGCGAGATGTAAACTCGCTATTGTGAGAAAAAAAGTCAGAATTGTGAGATAAAAAGATAATTTTTTCTCAGAATTGCGACTTTATATCATGCAATTCTGACTTTACATGCTACCACGCAATTGCGACTTTATTTCTCACAATTCTGACTTCATATCTCACAATTGTAAGATAAAAAGTCGCAATTATTTTGTTTCTTTTTTTTTTAGATTCAGTGGCGGAAACAAGCTTCCATAAGTTCCAATGTGTAGCTGTAATATGCTTGAAAGCTCAAATAAAAACAACATAGGAACTGCAGTGTTGCGCAGCGATAAATATAGCCGTGTTTTATCGTGAATAAAGCACAGCTATTGACCAATCAGAATCAAGGATTCAAACTAGCCGTTTTATTAAGCTCATCTAATAACGGCCATGCGACAGTTGCAGGAGGACGAGATGTGGCACTCTTGATTGGCAAACCGAACAGGGTTAGGATTTCCCCGTCTCAACCCACGGACTTTACAGAGCGGAAATGGTGCATTAAATACTTAACCAACATTTCCTCCTGCTCTGGCGGTTGGGGTTTTCTCAACACCAGCGTCGCTTACGCGTCGCCTCGTCTGCAATAACAGGCTACACCGACGGAAAAACAATGTTATTCGATCAACCTTTATCCATTAAACGTGATTGCAACCGTGTGCTGTGTCGGTGGTCGTGTGACGTGGGTCTATTATCATGGGCTATTATACACGTGTGTTGTGCAATACGGCTATCTTTGCACTTTGAGCAAAATGGATAGCAGTGGGACTTTCCCATGACTGTGTGTGTAGTGTGGAACAAACGCCCATGCAAATGACAGGTCTAATCGATGGGTTTATATAGGGATGCTGCACTGAGAGCGAGTAGGCGGCAGAAGAGCTTATCGCTCACGGCAGGTTCATGAGAGACATGATTCAGCATCCTCAATGTGGTACTGGTACCGAAATGACTCAGTAACTACACATGTTGTGGACCCGTGGAGAAAAGAGGCCAAACTGAAGGTAGGTTTGAGGAGGTGAGTGATAAACGCAGATAAACGAAAGATGCGCACGTGGGTGGAAGAAGTCAGTGGAGTTGAAGATGTAAAACAAAACAAAAGTGGCAAAAAAAAGGTGCATTTAATGATTAAGAGGGTTCCCCGCACATATAAACACGCATCAATGTGGAATTTATGATGGCTGTTCATATTCATCATAACACAACACAAATGTAATAGTGGAAGCCATTTGAGAAGCATTTTTGTAACATCTCTCAGTGCGTTTAAATACACCACTGTTCAAAAGTTTAGGGTAAGCATGGCTTTTTGTGAAAGAAATTATTATTATTATCATTATTTTTTTAGCAGGGATGCATTCGTTGATCAAAAGTGGCTGCAAACATTTATACGATTCCTATTCATCGAAGAATCCTGAAAAAAAGTGTGAGTTTCCACCAAAATAATTAAGCAGCACAACCGTTTTCAACATTTATAAGGGATTTCTGAAGGATGTGACACTGAAGACTGAGCCATTATTTCATTTTAAAATAGATTAAAGTAGAAAACAGTTGTTTTAAGTTGTATTAATACAAATATATATACTAACTAAAATGTTTTTACATTGTTTAACTCACAAAAATAAGTTAAGCCATTTTTAAAACAATTTATAAGATTCAACAAATTGTTTAAAGTCAATTTTTTTTAATGTAATGTAAGTTGAAAAGACTTGAAGCATCCAAGTAGTTGATTGTACTTTTTAATTTAATGCAGCCACCTTTTTTACAGTGTAAACGTATAATAAAGTTTAAAAAGTATAATAAAGTGTTTAATGTATGTTTTATATATGAGATTTAAAGTGAAATCATGTGTGCCAATAAAGTCAATAGTTATTAACAATAATGAAAATCGTTCATGTTTTTGTTTGTAGGTGAAATTATTTTGTTGAGAAGCTCTAACATGCACACACAATTAATTCAATCAACTGCAAACATTATTCAAATGATCCTTGATCACAGGTATCTTGGTTTAATTCATATTTTGTTTCTATTTGATTCTTGCAAGGAAGTTAACCAAACATGGCAAATATTAGTTTGATTCTTTGCTTTCAAGAAAATGCTCCTGCAAATACAGAATTGCTGGAATAACGAAGACGAACGAGGAAATCCAAGATACAAATTCTGATGCAAGAAGAGACAAAGTCATGTGACACATTTTACTAACTTATAATAATCCTATTTATGAGAAATTATCTCTGTCTTTTGTTTTTTGTGATATTGGCATACTACCATTTAAGTTTGACTTTATTTTTTTGCTATAGGTTATAGACCACGCTCTGGGCAGCTTTGCGTGACTTCTGGATGTTAAACTGAGCTCTTGGCTTTGAGAACTGAATTCCAAGGGTGTCTTCTTCATATTCAGCCCACGGAGTTCAGTTCTTAAGTTTGGATGCCCTCTGCATCGGCTCTGACCCGCGACCCGAACAAGCACGCCTGTGTCTGGACCAGAAGGTACTTATGCTGTTTATCACACACAAATCTCCAGTCCTCTTCTAATATGGCTTTCAGATTAATCTTAGAAAGTAAATTAGAAAAAATATTACTGTAGTTTTTATGGTGATTTTTTTATTTAACACTTTTATTTTGATCCTACACTTGTAAGTGAAGGCTTTGGGTAAACACAATACGGTTAATAAGAGTCATTAATTGTTCAACAGCAATGTTTTTTTTTTTTAAATCTAATTTAAGTGCTGTATAAAGTATAATGTCATATTCAGTTTATATATATATATATATTACTTGCCCTATATTATATTTTGACATGAATCAATATCAGTTTGATGAATAGCATTGTTAATAATAGGAAATATGTCTGTTTCTTTACTGTTTTTGCAGTGCAATATGTTTTTTTTTTACTATTGCTAAAATATTTTGATAGTAAAAATATTTTTAATTTTAATTTGAAAAAAAAATATATATTTTATGCAATTCAAAGTGAAAATTACAGGCCATTGTCTTTTTAAACTGGTTTACTAAAATAACTTTGAAGTTGTATTATTATATTGGCAAAGGTGTGATGGAATTGATTGTTTTTGTATTACATTTTTTGCTTTGTAAATCTGACACTTTATTTTACAGTGGCCTTGTTAGACATCTTAAGTGTAGTTACTAATAATATCAGCAAATTATGCATAATTACACACAACTAACTTTAAAACTAACCCTATATAAATTAATGATGGAAATGAGTTGTACTTAGTTAAAGCTGCAGTCCATAACTTATAGTCCACATATATATATATATATATATATATATATATATATATATAAACGTAGTGATTCAGGATAAGATAAAAACACGCTGTGAAAAATGGGTTTATGTACTCGCTTATTTTATACATTTTAAACACAAAACGTAAATGTATAAATAAAGAGTTCAGATGCAAAAGCCTCTAAATGCCATTTGAAATTTTCTTCTTTAATGATGATTTTTATCAAACTTGTATATTTAAGTTCAGTAATTTCACTTAAATAACAATTAATAGGTAATTATCATTGCCATTTAAGTGAAATTACTGAACTTAAATATACAAGTTTGATAAAAATCATCATTAAAGAAGAAAATTTCAAATGGCATTTAGAGGCTTTTGCATCTGAACTCTTCAAATACACTCTAACAAGGACACCTTCAAATAAAGAGTAAGCCTAAGTTGTTCTACACGTTGATAAGCATATACTTTTTTTCAAATGCTCAAATATCTGATGTCCAGTTGTTAAATCACTCTTAGTTCTTGACATTTTAAAGTTTAAATCTCAAATCTGCCAAAAAAGACACTATTTGTCATTGTCCAGAAGGCTTCGGATAATTTTTTTTTTTTTTCGTTTTAAAGACAATCTAAAGGGGTTTATGATGACATGAGAAATCAAACTTGCCTTGATCTTTTGATGATGATTATAATAAGGTCTTTGTACGATAATTTAAATTAAATTCACATTTACACTTTGAACAATAGATATTTCAAAGCAGCTTTACAGAAAAATACATGTTTCTACATTACAATTTAGTCTGTTATCAGAGGTGACTGTGTCAAAGTAATGTCCATTTATCCAGAGATGTAATACATGCAGTTTGCTAAAATCATGTTCTCAATGAGGCAGAAACAGTTTTCTCATTGAAACAATTATTACAAGTTGGGATCATAATGATTATATGCAGTTTTCCATCATCTCCATCTGAAGTCTCAATACGAGGCTGGATCCACACTGTAGCCGCTGTCCTGTTTCCTCGTAGCTGCTGTTCATAGCGTTTCAAGCTAAAGATAATCGTGTGCATGTCATCTGACTGACATCTGACATTTGTACTGGAGTAAAAAGTGGTTAAGATATGTATATGAACGCTATAGGCTAAACAGATGCGTCCTTAATCTAGATTTAAAGTGGGAGAGCGAGTCTGAGCCTTGAACATTATCGGGAAGGCCAGCAGAGTTTAGGAGCCAAATGTGAAAGCGCTCTCCCTCCTTTAGTGGACTTATATATTTTACTATTAGAAGCCCAGAGTTTTCTGATCTTAAAGGGATAGTTCACCCCAAAATGTAAACTCTGTCAGTAATTACTCTCCCTCATGTTGTTCAACCCCGTAAGACTGTCGTTCATTTTCGGAACACAAATTAAGATATTTTCGATTAAATCTGAGTGCTGGATCACTCCTGCATAGGCTCCTTAACCCTCAGGTGCTCTTCGTTTCGGAGTCACACTTGTTATCTTCCCGGTCAAAAGTGACCGGACACCTAAAAATTTAATTTCCTCCATCCCAGTAAAACCAATGCAATTTATTTTTGTTCTATAATATTTATTCTTTGTAATTTAGTATTTTGAGACAATTTGATTGAATTTATTAATATTTATGCAATATTTATGGTCTATTTTGCCATGGAAATATATATATATATATATATATTTATTATTTTTTCTAAAAAAATTATTAATGCAGTATTTTAGTTTAATATAGAGTCTAGGCCTTCAGAAAAGAAAAGAAAAAAATGAAGAAAATTAGCACCATCTGGTTACAGTATAGAGAAAAAGCATAGAATCATGGTGTAACCACTAGATGGCATGTACAGCTCTCTTTGGAGAACCGTGTGAATTCCCTAGATGTTTATGAACACATTTTTTTTTGTGTGGATTTGAATATGTAGTTGAAACAATCTCAAAAAAAATGTAAAAATAAATAAATAAATAAAAATTTGTGAATTTTTGTGTTTTTGTCAATTTCCCATTCATTTCCTATGGGGTCATTTTTGACCAAAGACCACAAGTGTGATTTTTTTTTCAAGACCACTTAGCATGCTCAGATCATGACCTCAATTTTTTGTGTGTAAAAATCACCAAGTTTCATAACATTCAGATGAAGCCGTGATTTTTAGAAATTCAAAACAGAAAATTTTTCGGTCAGAAATGACCGAAGAGCACCTGAGGGTTAAGAGATTGAAACTTGCCGGCCGAGAAAAGTTATTTAAGACATCTTTAAAAGAGTGACTACAGTGGCTCAATCTCGAGTTTATCAAGTGACGAGAATACTTTTTGTGCGCAAAAAAACAAACAAAATAAGGGCTTTATTCAACTATTCTTTTCCTTCTCTGTGGGCCTCGAGATAGTGTAACAGCGCAGCGCTTCTGTATCGTACGTCACAACCTAGAAGCTTTGCACAGTTTCATGAAATCTCGAGGCCAACAAGGAAGGAAATGAACCGTTGAATAAAGTAGTTATTTTTGTTTGTTTGTTGTTGTTTTTTGGCGCTCAAAAAGTAGTCTCGTCGCTTGACAAACTTGAGATTGAGTTAGTGTAGAGATGATAAAATGTTGAGTTACATGATCAAATTTTCCTGATAAGAACTCTTAGTATAGACCATTTTGCAAGATGTAAGCAAAACTGGTCCAGAAGCAATTCCTGTTTCAGTTTTTTAACACTACATAAAAGCTGGGATAAAATACAACCAACAGAACATATAAAACTGAATCAAAAAGTTAAACAAACATCTTTAAGATTTTTTCTTTACATGTGAAATAAAGAAAACAGTTGAAACAGGAAGTGTTTCTGGACCAGTTTTATGCCGTGTTCCAGGCAACCTGTAACTCGTATTTTTCCAACCTTATACCTGTGAAAGTGCACTGGAACGGCAGTCATACCCGTGACTTCCCACCCGTGAACTCGTACTAGACCGATGTACTCCCAGTTACGAGTTCTGACGTCACATAGCCCGCGAACATATACAAAACTACAATGACAGCCCCTACAGATGCAGTGTTTCTGCAGGCGGTACTCAGTGAGAATACACTTCAGGACAATATAACGTTAACTAGTTTTCAGTCCATTGAGTGCAAGGATAAATTAATACCAAATACATTTCCAAATATACAAATAAAGTAAAATAAAGAGTATAACAGCTTATCTTGCCTCATGCGCTATTTTTCCTCCTCAGTTTCCCACAAATAAACAAGGAGTAAGCACCTTTGGCGTTAGAAATTATTACGAATGCGGGTGAGCCCCGTAAGGTCCGCCATGCTGGTTTGTTTACATCTAGGTAGTTTGGCGTGAATGACCTGGAATGCTACAAAGTCGTAAGTCGTGGTTTGAAGTCGTGATTTACGTGTTAAAAAACCTGCCTGGAACGCAGCATTATTTGCATCTTGCAAAATGGTCCTTTTATTGAGGATGTAATGCATTACTTTAATCTAGACTAGAGGTCATGAATGCCTGAACTAACATTTCGGCATCAGAAACTGATAGCATGTTCTGTAGCCTAGCGATGTTTCTGAGGTGGAAGACTTTCTCTTTTTTTGGAAGGACTTTCTTGACATTGCTTCACTGATCTCCCAGACCTTGCTCTCATTGATTTCTTCTGCTGTGGACTCAACAACCCATTTCAATCCATGCTGATCCATGATGGTCCATGACAAAGTCCTTTTAGGCAAGTCATGCCACTCGGCCGCCATCTTGGCAACGCCTCCGGGCAGCTATTTCGGACTAACAAGACCAGGCTCCTGAGAGTCAGAACTGCACTTTCACTGGTCACTGGGACATAAAAACTGCATGTATAGAAACAGCAGAATAAAATATAAATATGATAAAATATGATAAAAATCGCTGAAAAAGTTTGATAACTTTGCCCTAAAATAAGTTTTAAAACGTCATTTTTCCCCACAGGTTATACTTTTACTGCGCATGCGCAAGGGTTCTCTCGCTTTCTGTTGCGCGCGTGCTGCACAGTTCGAAACACAGTATGTGCGCGCTACTGCTCGCTCGCTCAAGATTTCGGGAGATTTTAACTAATTTGTGGGATCAGGGAGCCGCTATCAATCTGCGGGAGACACCCGGAACTTCCGGGAGACTTGGGATGTCTGATATTTACACAACTCACACATACACTGAATATCAAATCTGCCGCCTTTTCAAACGGTAACGTATTTTCCACTGTCGCAAACCTCAACTGTGCACATGCGTCAGTGGAACCA